AAACGCCGGGGCTAGCCAGGCAGCGGGTGCCACGGAAAAACGCTGAGGCTGCAGAAAGTCGAAGTCGACGCGGGAGACTGACTCGCTGTCGAAGTGCGGGGAAAGTGAAAACACGGCGGCTGCTACCTGAAATATCGCTTATATGAGGCTTTTATGCCACCGCAAGTGGTCTTCTTACAGGAAAACTGATGGCTGGCTCGGATCCTGTCAGTAAAGTGCCAGTCAATTCCAAATATAAATTGCCGGAAGGATAAACAAAATGAATTTCTGAGATGCTCGTTTTCAGAGGAGACAAACCGCAAATTAAAAGGAAAGATTTCCAAAAGCTCTCTGGACTGATAGCTGCTGGGCTTGAATATTGAGCCTTTGAGTTTAACTCAGAAGAGTTAAAACCAGAGAATCTTTTAAGTCAAACAAGGAGATAAAAAACTCGAAGCATTCCAGACCTAAATGAATTTACCTTTATGCATGCACAAATAATGCTCAGAACGGGGAATCCAAATCCTGATTTAGCCCTCAGTGCCCTGAGAGGGGCTGTGACAGCCCTCGTAAGCAGCCTGGAGCATCAGCTCGTAGCCTCCCGAAGCTCCTGCTTCTCTTCTTTCTCTCCTACCTCCTGACACCCAAGTCTTTAGCTGTGCAGAAGGAGGACTTGAGTAGAGACGGTGAAAGACATACTAGGTAGCCGGACTAGCCGGTAGCAGATGGGGGTTTGGACCCCTCCGTCTAAGGGTTTGCACTGGATGCTGTTCTCTTGTTGGGTTCCCCTTCTCTGAGAATACTCCCCTCTAGGCACTGAACGAGGCATTAACATTACCGTGAGCCCAACAGAATCACAGTGCTTGCATCGAGTGTTCTACATTTCCAGCTCTTGGCATCCTCTTTTTCATAGGAGGAAGCAATCCTGGCCTTGGTAAAACTTACTGTTCTTCCTTGGCAGTAATTGTCAAGATGCTTTTAGGCTTATACCTATTTGTTCTGTTTGGTTCCTGGTGTTTTCTAAATGTCACGTGCTTTGGCCAAAACACTAGACATGTTCTGAAAGAGACTGAAATATATGCAAGGCAACATGTACTATCAGATCCCAGCGTGATCCAGTCAAAATGTATACCTAGTTTTTTTGATTCCCTTGAAACAATCCCTCTTCACGAGGTTTAAGAAGAGCAGAAAATTTTCCATAAATCACTATCTTTTTTTTTATTTACATAGTATTACTGCAATACGACTCTGGCAGTGAAAATCTAAAGACTGCAAAATGACTAGACAAGATTAAAAGAACAAGGAAAACATCTTCCCCTAGTTTCCTTTGGCCCAGGGTGTTCAGGAATACTGTGTTCTTCTGTGTCTACATGGCAGCACTTTCTAGCTAAAAAAGTTTGAAGACTGTAATATTTTTAAGGTCAGTTGTGTATTTTTTTTAACTGAGGCAAAAGTATCAGCCAAATTTCAAGAATATAAGCATAATACAGTGTGAACTTTAACATACAAAGATTTCTGCTTCGCATTAGAAACAAACTCACAAGCACAGGTGACGTATTTGCTGCATTTTATCCACACTCATTCTTCAGCACTTCTTTTGTTAGTTTGATCTACTTGTTACGTTTCCATCCCACGGAAATGGATTCTGTCATGCATCAGCTCACAGCTGATACTTATAAATAAGAGCTAACACCTGACAGCATGATAAATACCTGCAAATGGGAAGTCTACATATAAATAATGGCAGGGATCAGATTTCCACTAAGCGGTACCCCTCTTCCCCTTTGCCATGGTATTCAGTATATAAGCTTCTGAAATACATTCTAGATTTCTGCAAGTTTATCCTAATGTTATTACAAGCTTTTCCCCTGTATCGCTATATATCTATGTTAGTTTAGTTTGCAAGGCTTTAATCACTTGTGGAAAACATGGAAAAAATAGCAAAAGGTGGGATGGTGCATAGAAAATTGTATGTAAACATGTATGCAAACATGGTGCATAGAAAATTGTATGTAAACAATATGTATGCAAATGTAACCATGTCTTCTCTTCTAATTGCAGGCCAAGTCCAGCTGGATAGCAGACCTACCTTAAGCACCATAGGTAGTATGTACGATGTAATGTACGATGTTACGTTTTTCATAACATGGTAGTTAGTTTCCAGTGGCAGTAGTAGCAACTGAGATCTTATAGCCCATTGAGATGTTCAAGTGGAAGGAATAAATAGTTGAACCTATGAATAGTTGAATCAGAGCAAGTCTTTGCTCTGATCATTCACAGGATATGCATGTTCCCTGTTGTTCCCACAATGTCTACCTGTATGTGTATTCTCTTACTGGGGATACTTATGTGATCTACATAGTTTACCAGAAGGAAAGGTATATATCTTGCATCTTTTCAGTTAGATACAAATACTGTTACATTACCTGCTATGACGTATAGGCTGCATCCAACTTCAAACAGAATACTCAGTTTTGCATTAGCTGCGTTACTGAAATCAAAGAAATACCAGTGTATTTTTAGACTATGTATGTAAAATCATAACTACTTTTGAGTTGAAGAGACTGTTTAAATAAATACAGCCACCTGGTGCCTTACACATTCAGAGATCATGATTGCATGTACCCACTTTATATATATTATATGCATACATTTCAGCTACCTAAAATACAGGCTGTTGGAGTCATGACTTTAAGAATAGCCTCCAAAAGCTGTGCATAAAGACTAATGCTAATGACACAATTCAACTGCATACCTAATTACCTGACTTGTGAATGAGTTTTTCATTCACACCAACAGCCACACTTTGTGGCTGGATGCACATGTTCACCTTGTTTTCTTTTAATGAATGATTTGGCAGCTAAATCACTTTTTGGTCTCTCTAACAGATGGAAATCAGAACATCACAGAAGTAGATGCACTTGATAGAAGGTAAAGTTCTGATGGTGATGATAGGGAGAGGGCCATCTGGCACTGAGGTCAGTTCCGGGTTTTCTGATCTTTGTTAAGAATGTGACTGGATTAGTCCCTCAACCCCACCTACTTACAGACTGTGTTAGCTACACCAGATGTAGAACTAGCCTTCTTTTCATGAAGGCATGCAGAATGGACTCTTAGGAGTGGAGTCCTATTATGCTAGGCAATGTGCAAAGACCATGACAAAGATACCATCACAATCTAAGGAACAAGTGGACAGAGTAAGTAATAGAGCACAGCATAAGAATTTATTCCTCCAGAAGAAGGGACAGGGACCACGGGATATCGATTCCATACATTTTTACCATTCCACCTTACAACAGCATCTAGCCCTAGAAAAACTACCCTTCTAGTAACTTTTTTTTGCCTCACCCACTCAGTGAATACAGCTGAGCAGAGGAAGAATTATTTAAGGAACCATCCTTTAACAGCCATTCTCAGGATCTGAGGAGATCCAAAATCCCTACTAGCCTCAGAACATGTTTCTTAGTTTTAAGGCAGGAAAATCACCAAAATCCAAATAGACTCTGGCATGCATGGAATGTCATTCATAACTACAGGTCTAAAACTTCAGCACATCTGCATTTTGTCGGGTTTAGTACTCAAATTAGAGAGAGTGTGATAAAGAGCCTCACTCACTTTTCTTACTTTTTGTTGTTACTCAGTCAACATTGTAAAAATCCCTCGACTTCAAACAGTCACCAAGTTTCTGTTCCCTTTTCAGAATTCTTCTGTAGATGTTGCAGAAAGATGCTTTATTAAGGGGCTGCTCAAAATAAAAATGGAGAAATAGTTGGTGGATAACTTTTGTCCTGTAGTAGAGGGGAAAAAAAAAAGTATTTTGGATGAAACCGTGATCCTTAGGTAACTTCTGCAGGCAAATATTCTAAACCACTCCTCCCAGGAAAGGCACCAAAACTGAACATGCCACAGGAGGAAAAAGCACAGTAACATGCCAAAAATAACAGCTCTGCTTGAAACTAGTTCTAGGGCAGCGTGACATGGACTGTCATTCTGTGCACCCATAGTACTGACTACTGCCAGAAGCATTTTAGCTTCTGTTCACTGCACTATCACCTCTGTCAACAGAAGCAGTAAGATTTTTGTCTGCTTTTTCCTGCTAAATACAACCATGCCAAAGCCTGCAAAGGACCTTTTGGGTCCAGGAATACAATCAACAGTGTGCTATCACAGACCTCTATGCTGCAATTGTTCATAAAACATAAGGCAAATCTCAGACAGTTACAGTTCCAAATAAATACATATACATAATCCAACTATGTTAAAATAGTATTTAACTAAATAGAAAACATGGAGATGTGGACCTGCATTTAAACATACCCTTTTTATACCCTTCTGTGTTTGTTACTAATGAGATAGATTTGTATTGTCACCTGTCAGGAGGCTCTCTTAGAGGAATTGTTTAACTCTACCTGACAGAGCCTAGTACACACCCAACACTTACTTAATTGCTTAGTGTACCTGAGAATTTCAAAAAGACCTAGTGACCTGGCTCCTTCCGAAACATTACAGGTGTTAAGGTCTTTTCTTCTGAAACTGCATCCTCGCAGTCTCTAGTTATTTATAAAAATCTCAGCTAGTAGGAAAACAGACAGGGAATTCAGTTAGCTATTAACTCAGTTATCAAGAATGTTTTTTATCTCTGGCAACAGACAAACACTTGACCCTTTAGAGCAGTACAAAATGAATCACAAAAGAAGAGGAGTTGCATTAATCTTCAATCAGGAGCGCTTTTTTTGGCATTTAATGCTGACAGAAAGACGTGGGACTATTGCAGACAAAAACAATCTGGCACGCAGGTAAGAAACTTGATTTATCTACAAAAGCTTAAGAAACTGAACTTCAGAAATCTCGTTCAAATAAGCAGTCACCTGGATCCTATGTGGAAGTATAGAACAAAAGATGTTGCAGAAATAAGCACCTATACAGGCTTGGCAAAGATGGCCATGATAAAAACGCTGCAGTTCACATTTCTCCAAGTCCCTGAAACTGCTAGCGCAAGTCCCATGGATTTCAGTGAGTCCAGACCTCTCTTCTGACAAACAGTTCAAAACAATTTTAGTATTACACCGACACTTGAAACTAGCCCGAGTTCAAAGTCAAGTTTAGCTGTTCTATCATAAATAACCCCGTTGGATACTCATTCTGTCACAGAAAAAGCAACTGGCGTGCATAATTTGAGAAAAGGTTTTTACTAATACTGATGTGTTTCAATGATAGTTTGACAGACCTTGGATTTAAAGTCAGATGCTTTGATGACCTGAAAGCAGAAGATATGCTGGAGAAAATTTATGATGGTAGGAGACTATATATTGATTATGTATAACCGTTCATAGCAGCAATTCTAGATACATCTTACTGTTTTTTGTTTGGTGTGTTCATCCTAAAATCATTTTTGTGCATGAGAGAATTTTTTTAACGTTAATGGACTTAAAGGTCAGATTTCAGATTGTTTATTGCAATTCAAATGAAGCTTCCATTGAGAGAAGTAACGAAGTTGCCAAGAACTGAAAAAAGTTACCTGCAGCCAAGAGAAGTTAGTACCATTCTCCTTTTTACCTGTAGTGGCCTGAAACTTCAGCCACTGTGAATCACTTTACCTTCAGAACTCTGCAGTCTTACACTATCTGAAAGAAGAGTTTGAAAAAGGCCTGATCTGAGATTAAATGATATGATACACACGTATGATGTTTTTTTTTAACCTAAAGATTCTAAACACCCCTTGACATCTAAACGCCACTTGACTATTTCAGCCTCTGCGGAGGACCACAGTGATGCCGACTGCTTTGTATGTGTGATCCTGAGCCATGGTGAGGATGACCATGTTTACGCATATGATGCCCCAATCAAAATTGAGGCAATCACAAGCATGTTCAGAGGAGACAGGTGCCAGAGTCTGGTAGGAAAGCCTAAAATATTTATCATTCAGGTAAGACGTGTTTCTAATTGCAACAGAGAGAATACTGATCTGTATCATCTTCTTGTGATGCAGAAGTCAGTTTTCCTGGAAAAATCTTTCCGAAAGGGAAAGTTTTTATATCTTTAGGGGAGAATGGGATGGAACACTGTTCCTTAAGGCATTTAAGACAAGGACTCTTTTGTTTTGTTTTAACCTTTAGGTACGCTCTAACAGTATTTAGTAAGATGTAATTATACAAAGAGCAACCAAAATCAAGCCCAGGTCAGACAGACTGTCAGTATATGTTTAATGGCAGGGAAGACAGCATCGTCAGTTTTGGGAGAAAGCTGTCAACTGCCTCAGCTCATTTGCTACTGTTTACAACTCATGCTCCCTAGGTTAGGCTGTAGAAGGCCATCAGACCTCCTCACTTTCTCTGTTTCCTTCCAGGAAAGTCCCTTTACTTGATACTTGCAGAGTTTTCTTTGTTGCTGGGGTTTGTTTGTTTTGCTGTCACCTATGCCTGGCATCTCTCTAGCATTTAAAGAATCAGTTTGGAGCTCCATTGGCTCAGAAATACTTCTTGTGCTAAGTGGTCACATAAAGCCCATATGCAACCTCCTGTTTCACTTCTTGGTTCACAGGGTCATAGGATAATTCAGACTAAAAGGGACTTCAGGAGGTCTCTAGTCCAGCTCCTGCTCAAAGCAGAGTCAGCTATGATGTCAGACTAGGTTACCTGAGGCTCTAGCCAGGTTACCGTTGGCCAACTCAGATGAGAACCTGGCCTTCAGCGGAGTGTGCAATTATTACAATTTGTAGTACTTTATGTAGTTGGGATTGTGGCTTAAAGCAGCCATCTTCCAATAAACCTCTTTAAGGGTTACCTTTTTGCAAGTGAAAGCTAACTTGGGTACCAGGCCATTACAAAAATGAGCGCACTGTTAATTCGTCTTTCACTAGGACTCATTCAGCTTTAAATTTTTCTGAAATCAGGTGCCCAAAGATGGAATCATCTACATATTACAGTTATGTATTACATATAATATTTATAATACCCAATCGCAATAAAGCAAATTGACTTAGTTTGGTTCATTAGCTAAGTTCACTTACAGCACAAAGACTAATCAGTTAACGTTTGCCATTGGAAATCTCAGAAGATATAGTGATGAAGTTCTGTCCTTGCTGTTAATGAAAGAGAAGATTTTCATGTTTCTCTCTTGCTGACAGCTGTTAAGTAATGCTTGTTACCTGCTTCGTATCTTCGAGTGTGTTCTTACCTTCTTATCTTCCACGTATAGCCCTTCTGCAACACTGACCATACCAGCCTCAGTTACTGGCTTCTCACAAAAAAAAAAAAAAAAGCCTCCCTCAATTGTTAAGACATTTGCTTGTACTAAAGAAGCAGCGTAACAGCACAGAGTGATGGTTGTGCTTCAGTGCAGTTACCATCATCTCAAGAGCTTTCAGTGGACTTCATCTCCAATATTTTGATTGATGGAGAAGTAAATGGGGCTTTATAAATCCACATTCATGGTAACGAAGCACGCTTTTCCCTCTGCTAGGCATGTCGAGGTAACAAACATGATGATCCAGTTGTTGTTCGGGATTTAGTAGACAGTACAGAGAATGAATCCATTGCCAATGAGACTGAAGTGGATGCAGCTGGTGTCTGTACCCTGCCTGCTGGTGCAGACTTTCTCATGTGCTACTCTGTGGCACAAGGTAAAGTTCTAATATTTTACATATTTGCTTCTGATATTTCCCTATAACAGACTTCTTCATTTTGCAGTCTAACAAGTGGCACAGATCCAAGTTGTTTTGCATGTCTGATCATGAGTGACATTTCCTCTAGGAAGGACTCCATATGTTAAGAAAAAAGTGAAAATAAACCATCAAAACTGCAGTTAGTTTGACATCCAGAAATGCTCTCTTCACAGTCTTGTTGCTGAGCTGTCTGCTGACAGCAAGCATTTTCCAGGATGGCAGTATTCTGGTGGCTCTTAAATTTCCCTGCACTATATGCCTGTCTTCCCTCGTCCACTATGTAGCTTGATCTCAGTCCTATCTGCTCTCTTGTAACTTGCAGAAACAATCCTGTGGGCAGTGAGCTACCACTACACCTCGATCAGTATTCCTCTTGACTGAACAGTGATCTGCGAGTCAGATTTGTACAATTTCTAGTAAAATTATATAATTCACAAAACAGGATTTATACCCATTAACAATACCACTGACTGCATTTATGGATGAGGCTAGTAAGCAGTAACTCTCATGAATATTCTTCAAGTGGCATGACTGCTCTTTTAGTTGAATGTAATTTTATGTGCCTGTTCTACAATAGGGTACTTTTCTCACCGCGAAACTGTGAATGGCTCCTGGTACGTTCAAGATTTATGCGAGGCACTTAGAAAGCACGGCTCTTCCTTGGAGTTCACAGAGCTTCTCACTGTCGTTAACAGGAAAGTGGCTCATCGCAAGGTAGATATGTGCAGAGATATTAATGCTATAGGAAAGAAGCAGATTCCTTGTTTTGCCTCAATGTTAACTAAAAAACTGTATTTTCATCCGAAATCCAAGTAGATACATCAACAATGAAAATTATTGATTAATGCTCACTGCAGAAAATTGAAGAAATGCCATCTTCTTTCAGGAAATTAATACTGTGTACTTTCTGTAGTCTAAATGTATTCAAATCTTGAAAATTAATCTACAAGATTATTTGCAAAAGCACAGGGATTAAACTTCATAGCTCTTCTGTAGATTAGTTTACAATTTTAAAACCGGTGCTGCAGCTCTGTTCATCTCAGGGAATTTGGGGAAATCTGATTGGTGCAAGACTAGTAACAGGTGCTCAGATTTTATTAAAATAAGACTGTTTAAAGATTTTTTTCTTGAATCTCATCTAACTATGGTACGTTTTTACTATTTCCAAAACTTTTGAAAGGCTGCGTTAGATTAGCTTTTCTTGCTCCAAGAGCTTCTCCAGTTTACAAGGGATATATATACTTTTGTAGGGCATCTTTTTAAATGTGTGGACAGTGTTGGTTTTGGTAGACTCCAAACTTACGTGTCCACCTTTAATTTTGTGTGGACTTATTGAGCTTTTTAGCCACAACTTTTTAATTTCTCCTACCAGAAAGAGATACTACTGGAGTAAAACTGTTGTATTGAAACCAGCTCTATTTAAAAAAAAAAAAAACAAAACCAAAAAGCTGCTTTTTGCTTGCACTTCATTTACATTCAGAGTATTATTAGCTTTGCATCCTTGGGAACTGGCAAGCATTGGCAAACTGCAACCACATAAAGCTTGTTTAGTGTTAGCTTAAATATACTTTAGTTACAAATACATTCCTTGTCAGGGGTAAGTTAGCCTCTAAAGCTAAAGTACATCAGTTCCAGTACCACCTACAACTCTCATGGATCGTTACTGGTAGCTCTGCAAAATACAGCACATGCAGACCTTTATACTTCAGGCCTTGCTGTTAGATTGACCTCTTTCTCCCCTTGGCCCCAGACAAGTTCATCTATACACTGTCATTGCGTGTATATAAAAGTGATAGTGCATTGATCACCATAGGATGTTTCCACTTATTACTGTAGAAGCATCAGTAATTTAGATCATCCTCGATGGAAGCAAGTACTTTTTATTATTTCTTTGTTATTTCTTTATTATTTTTATATATTTTTACATTATTGGTACATACGCTTAACTCGGGGGCACAACGGAGAACTCAAGCAGAGAAAAGTATCATAATCAAATTTCCTGAGTATAAAATAATTGACTGACTTGGTCTGCTTCACTTAAATCCTTCTATATTATCATGCTCTAAGTCACAGATGTTAAATCTTATTATGGCTACATTTATGCTTTGTATGAATCATGTATGTTTGAATGTTTTGATAAGTTCTTTCAATAAAATGAAACAGTAAAAAATATTTTATAGTAAATGAGCTTGATATATCTTACTTTTCTGACAATATTTACTTAAAAAAGCTTAGAAGAGCTTATTTCGGATACAAGTCTACCTTCCACCAATGGTGTTATACCAACAAAATCAACACAGAGCTGGGGAAAAGGAAGCAATCACTTCAGAAGAAAATCCCTAATACTCAGTGCAGAAGCTAATTATTTCCTGAACTATTGCTGTGCTATAGCAAATGGTCCTTAAAAGACAGCCTTCTTTCTTGAAAACATCCCTGTCGTTATAGCAGAGAGAGAAATGCTTCTATTTTATTAATGATATTTGACAAATATCTTGAAGAACTCGTTTCATATAGTAAAAAACCCAAACAGTCAAGTGATCAAATTACTTCATATTTATTGTAACTTTCAAAACTATAGTGGTCAAAAATACCCATTTTCTGAAGAGTAACTAAATGCTCATATTAGCTTTGAGAGGACAATTCAAATAGATATAAAAAAAGAAATCAGTCTTTGTCATTGATTTCCTGGATTGGAAGCCTCAGCTGCAGAGGTTGGCGCAGACGCCTCAGCGATTCCTCAGCCTGTCAGTCCAAGAAAGAATGAGAAGTTCATCCTACTGCAGCCCATAATTTTCTCCTCCCCTTTCATATATCTGGTATCTTTCTCATAAGATGGTGGTCTTATGAAGGAAATCAAACTAATCAAGTGGAGGATGCTGAACATTCAGACATACTCCGGTCATTCAGCCAGTTCCAGAGAGGAGTGTGTGCCCTGTTATCCCCATCCCCACCCCACAGTATTGTTTTCCAGAAAAGAGAGAGAAATTACAAAATTCATACTCCGACCATTGAAAAAAGCATCAAATTATAGCCTTATGCCATGTGTGACTTACCAAATCGTACCCTTAACCAAGAATCCTGAACTAAAATTAGGGTAGTTTCAATTTGAATGAGAGGAGACATTAAACAGAGCTGGCGGGGTGGGATGGGGGAATGAGAACTGAGGGTGGGGTAGGCAAAGATTTTCCTCCTCCTCCCACCCCTCACAAGGGCCACAAAGTTTCTCCCAGGCATACACATCAGCTTTACAGAACGTGGGAGACTGGATGGAAGTCCAAGCGTATCGCCTAAGGAGCAGCATAAAGCTGTCAAATGCTGAACTCTGCAAGACAGTCTCCTTCCAAGGTAGAGAGACTGCGTTACCACAGCAGTGCGGCAAACATGCTGTTCTTGAAAGCAGCACAGCTATTCTATTAAAAGTGCTGAGGATGCAAATATTAAGTGTGCAAAAAATACGCAAAATAAATATTTAAGTATGCAAAAAAAGGGACATGTAGGGCTGACAAACTGACTTATTTTTTCAATTAAATTCATGGAAGGCTCTCCTTCCGATGACCTGCTTAAGTAGTGCGTATGCCAGTGACAAACATACCTCATGGTTATTTAAATAGCTCAAACCGGTTGATAAGTAATAAACTGTTCTGAATGTAAGTCATAAACCTTGAAGTCAATTTTCTGTTAGCTGAGAGTTTACTGAAAACTCATACCCCAGAGGCCATCTCATTATTTAAGGACTGTGTGTAAATACCTCTGCTAGGTCTTCTTTTAGCTTGTTATACCGTTGCACATTGAAACGCTGGCTTTTGGATTTCCGATAGAAGTAGTGGAGGAACTGCCTGTCTTTAGCATCTGGGTAAATGTAGTCCTGGTGGAGAAAGCAGGGAACATATTTGAGGTTAGCAAGAAAAATAGGTAGAGGTCAGAAGGTTACTTGTACAATAGTTTCAATAGAAATTTAGCCTGTTTCGGGAGCTAGCCTAGTTCAACAGATATAAGTGTATTTACATATACACACATATATATATGTTTTTATATATATGCATATATTTTGCTAACAGGCTACATATAAAGGTTCTATATATCATAAGGAATTTTTAGATACAGGTTAGGAATTAGTTCTACTATGTCTAAAGGAATTTTCAACCATGATAAAGCCGTATCTTGATTTTAATGACTGGAGCCATCTGAATAAATAGAGATGACTGTCCAAGGAGTCAGAGGAAGTTCAACTGCAATTTCTCAAAGATGTATTTGAAAGTGTCAAACAGAGGCACCAATGGTTGTTCAAAAATAACACATAGTGATCTCTATTATTAAAAATCAGCCAGAAGGAGTAAAACTCATATTCAGAGCCAGCTGTTCATAAAAACAGCCATGTCTCCTCTTTTTACTAAATTAATCTGGCGTCTCATGATTTCTGTAATTGGTTTTATGGAAGTAAGTGCTGGTTATTCTTCCATATAGCTCGCTAACAAACAAGAAGAGTTTTGCATCACACAAAGTTCAACATGAAAATATCTGCTTTGGAAATAGAGTAGAGCCAAAACAGAAAAAAGAAACATTTCTCCAAGCGATATGATTTCAGGACTAGTCTGCATTCTGCAGTTCAGTTAAGGTCTGCTTTTTTGTTACTCAGCGAAAATTTTTTTTTTCTAAACAACACCCAGTTCCTCCCTATTTCAGCTGTCATCAGTTTACCTCCATTCACTCAAAGACAAGGAAAAGTAGTCAGGCTATGCAGAACAAAGTGATAAACATTTTTTCACGCGCTAAAGTAGATGCATTTCAATAATGCAACTGCCAGTTTTCCCCCAGTTTGTCAAATTTTGACAGATTTCCTGCCATGCAGATACAGATTCCCTGCATTGTATGCATGTGAACTCCAGCAAATAAAAGATACTCTTCAGTGATTTCCTTCCTCGTCTGCTCCTAAGGTAGTGTTCATGAACCACCACAGCACTACTAGTTGCTCTCCCTTTACAACAATGAGCAAGGTGCTAGTTACCTTTCAAAGTGATCTGCAAGAAGTTAAAATAAAAGGGCACATTTCCTTCATCACTTTTGATTCCCCAGGTTACAAAATCTCATAGACAGCAGTTCTGCTCAGCAGCTTGTTTGCAGTTCACGTGTAACAGTGCCTGGCTTGATTTCACACAGTGAACAGCTATGGTAGAAAACAACCAAGTGCTCATCTGATGGCAAGGCTACTGAATTACTTTTCTCAGAGCCCAAGCACTCAGATTTTCATAGTTTGTTTTCCTCTTTCACAGTATTCCAGACCTACACAGAATGAGGACTTACCTGTTTAGTTAGAACAAAGTAGGCATAGAAAGCCATGGCACTCCCATAAGTGATAAAGTATGTGACTGGCTCCATGATATCCCACGAATAGACCCACCACGTAAGCCACGCCAACGCTCCTCCTTGTGTCGACATCAGAGCCAAGCCCACCCATAGAAGCCTGGAGGTCTTTGCATCTGCACTGTCCACGATTCTGGCTTTCATCTAGGGAAAAGAAATACAGAAACCTGTTAAGCCAGAACATGAGTGCAACTGATCAGCTGTTTTTCAACTACATTCTCTCCTGCTGGGCCAGATCCTTTTGTCAGGGCTCTCCTCTTACTGACCTACCCTGCCAAGAGAAGACAACTGAAATCCAAGGGCAATAGGCATAGGCATCTACCAGCTGTTGTGCCCTGGGGGATGCTGCTGTTAATCTCCCCTTCCCACTACTAGGGATTTACGTCTACTGGATTTCCTTTCATCATTCAAGGCAGCTCTGGTTAATGCTTTCTGAGCCTGGTCCTCACATAGCAGGTCTGAAGCCAACAGCAGCAAGAAATCTGTTCATCCTGTCAGGCTCTCTCTGGCTTTCTCCTGTCATGCTGGGTTAGCGCAGCCTTTCCTACATCAACACTCATACCTTCCCTTCTTGAATTATGGCACTCAGTAGTCCGAACAATTTGGCTGCCCTAGTGACCACAGAAAACCCTAGCCTAAGCCACAGATGATTTCCACCTCACTGCTGTTTTTTCTGTTATGGGTATTCAAAACATACAGCTAAAGGTGACTAAGTGGACTCTCACTCCTAATACCAGCCACAGAAGGGCTTGTTCATGATAGTTTTATCAAGTTTTGCTGGTTTCTACCTGGGGAATTTTGCACAGCAGGAAGGAAAAGAACTGAGCTGCAAATAATCCTGTATTTGAACTGACTCTCATTTACCTGACAAACAAGGGAGACACACCCTAGCCATTCATGCTGATCTCTTCATATGGCAAAACTCACTCTTGATGAAAAGAAACATTTTGGATTTTTACAGTAAAAATAAACCCCCTTTCCAACCTGTTCAAGAGGCAGCAGCTGTTCCTTCAGATATTCCAGTTTCTGTAGTAATTCTCTCTCTTTCCTGATCTGGTGATCTTCTAAATGTACAGCCACAAACAGTCTGTGAACCAAGGATTTGATATCTTCCATTTCAGTAGCATGCTCACTACACAGCTTATCTAAGAAGAAAATGTTTGTCATATAACACATTTCAAAAGCTTACCCCTCTTCATTCTCTTCTCTCCCACCCCCTAAAAAAGCAGGACCATCAGATTGAACAAAAGCAAAGAGTGATTCCTTTCTCCAGTCAGGTTCCTGTTTTCTGAGGCTTTTTGACGCCTTTCACTAGATGAAATGAGATGATCAGAGTCATTAAGTGTGGTTCATACCTTTTTTGGGAGGTGACACACTGTATGTTGTGTTGTTGATAACAAGTTTAAAGTCATTCATCAATAAGACCTCCATCAAGGTTGCATCAGAGACCTTGCTACCATCTGCAGAAGAAAGATTTAAGTTAAAGTCATTTTAGTGTTAAAAGATTAGCTGATATTCCTTTGGAAAAGTTCTCTATTAATAATGTTTGGAAGGGAATGGTACTTTGAATAAGTCTGGTAGCTGATACCAAGCAGGAAATCACCAGTATGGCCCTGTGTTTTCTGCTATTCCTCACTTCCATTCTGTGCAGGAAACTTCTTTTCCTTTCCATTTTTGAAGAGGAATACATCAAGACAGAGAATATGCCTGAAGACTTTCTCTACCAGCATCATTCAGACTTTACAATTCTCTCAGTTTCACTAGTCTTCACTATTATTTTTACTAGTATTTTACTACTATTTTGCTACCTA